TTATAAGTTGCACTGAGTAAATACAGCTGGATAAAACAAAAACGGTATCCGTCTTCATTTCAGGCTGCAAAGCAACAAAATGTGATTATTTTAAAGGGGGTAATTATTTTCTATATATACTACTGATATATACTACTGTGCAAAAGTCTTAAGGTACATGGGGCAACTTTTTGAGAAATGTTGCTGTCAACAGGCAACCAGGTAAGACACAGGTCCCACAGCTGATCTAAAGTACCCATATAGAAATGTGTTGCCCATTCTCAATGGGAAAGCCCAAGCAACATTGCAGAGCAACATTGCTCAAAAAAGTTGCCCCGTGTATCATCACCTTTGTGCCACTAATATTTTCACCCACCAAAAAATGGTTTTAACTTAGTTATTTCTACCAAACATTCCTTTTGCCATTAATTGTAATAATCCAGAGAGATTTGTATGCACAAGGAGTCTGAAAACAGCCAGTGCTCCACACAGAGATCTGATCTCACCATCATTCAGTCCATATGGAATTACATGAAGAAACTGAGACAGACTAAATCCAGAAGAACTGTGGCAACATCTCCATGATGCTTCAAGAATCCTACCTGCAAAGCTACCTGAAACTAAAACCTAAACTTTTCAAGGTACTGTAGTGAAGTGGGAAGGCGTTTGGGTGGCAGAGGATGATTTTCCTGCTTTATTGGAGTCTCATCCTAATGTATGCCCTTGAGGAACTGTTTACAGCTCTCTCAACACATCTGTGATTCATTACCTACCGCAGCACACACTGGGTAAGGGTTATTGAGCTGAAAAGGGTGTCGGCGCAGCTCATTAACCCTTTCCGTCTATTCACCACATAATTAGGTGCGGCCAGTGCACTAAGACTAAGGTAGTATGTTGCCAATAAAAAGATGTTGTTGGCATAGAAATGGTCAAGGGAAAGAGCGGCTGATGCTGTAATGTTAATATAAAGTGTTTTGGAGATTTTTATCATCCATTCCTTTTAACATTTTTCTTTGACAATTTTTTTTACCACAACATATTCTCACGTCGATGTGTGACCCTTACAGTACTAGCATTAATATGGTGTACAATCTGAATGTCTGTGTTTTGCCAGTGCCCCAGAGCTCAGTTGCGTCCGTAGGGATGACAGTGCTACTATGATACTTTCAGGCTCTGCTCTCCCTGGGGTACAGCTGTCCCTCTGGTGTTTGGGTAAACAAGGCTGGTTCTGAACCCTAGGCAACATCCATATGTTTCCCTGTGGAGCTCAGCTGGACTGGGTCAGGAACATGGGTCAACGCTGTCCTCTTAGTCCCACGCTCTCCCATCCTGGATCTGAGCTGCTGCTCTTCCCAGACGAGACTTCCTCTGGGAGGTTTTCTAGAAAGGCATTCGTTCTCACTCAAGTGTGATTCAACATCGATAGGCTTTCATTGAAGAATCTCTCCGTTTTTGGTGGTCCGCCTGATGCCAGTTTGAAAACATCTGTTTTTCACATTGTCTCTGGCCACAGGTCAGCTTTAAATAACAATCTGTTTATGAATCCTTTTCTAGCAGCTTTTACCAAGATTGCTTTGGTTAGGAGTCCACTCACTTCCTGATGCATTTCTGTTTATGCTATATACTGACTTTAAGCTCTTCTACACTCAAATCGTTATGTGTTTGAATTACATACTGTATAAAATGTCCATCCATTTGGATTACACCATTTTAAAGGGATAGTTCACCTGAATGTTGGTAACCAAACAGTTGCTGTTAGCCATTGACTACCATAGTACTTTTTATCCATACTATGGAAGTCAGTGGCTAACAGCGACTGTTTGGTTACCAACATTCTTCAAAATATCTTATGTTCAACAGGAGAAAAAATTAATACAGGGTTGGAACATCATGAGGATGAGTAAATGATGACACAATTTTTGGGTGAACTAACCCTTTAACGTAAACAAACTACCGTATTGGCCCAAATATAAGACGACCCTGATTATAAGACGACCCCCCCCCCCCCCCTTTTTCCAGATGTACCTTTTGGAAAAAGGCTTTTTAAAAACCAAATCTTGTTTTTTCTCAGTAAAACGCATTTTGTCTTCAATTATTTTCATATTGCATATTTTTCCTATTTAAATTTTTGTTTTGAAAGTATGGTAAAAACTGGTAAAATGTACCAATCACATTTTAAAAATATACACTTTTTGATATACCATTAAACAAAAAAAAACAGGTAGCCCATCTGAATTAGGACATTTAGGCTATCCATCTAATAGTAGCCTACCAAAATCTTATTAACAGTAGAAGTTAAATCTTACTGTAGTCTTCAAATCTGGGTACTGTCTTATGTTTTAAAATAAACAAAGGGAGTTTGGTCCCATCAGGCTAACATGACAGTCATGAATCATGCAGCTGTAAGGTTTTCTTTTCTTTTGTTTTTAATCGCAATCTTTACAACACGCATTACATTCTTTATACAGTCTATGATTACATTACGTATTTCATGGCACACTCGTTTTATGTGTATTTGGCGCAACCTATTGTTGTGGGTGTATTATTGACATGTCAAAGTCTAGACCCTGAATATAAGACGACCGCGTTTTTTCAGATGTATTTCCAAGAAAAAAAAACATCGTCTTATATTCAGGTCAATACGGTAATAAACTGGGATGCATATGTCATACATGCATAAAACCGGTAAGATTTCTGTAATAGTTCTGAATGTGTTTTAAATGCACATTAACCAGGTGAATATATTTATCATCAATAAATCCAGTTTGTTTCAGTCTTATACATGTAAACTAAGTGAATGCAGAAGGCCGTAGCTCCAAACATTCTTCCAAAAAACATATATCAAATGTCTTTAGGTGTGTAGATCCAAGCAATTAAACAATCCAAGAATGAATAAAAAAACTGCACATTCAGAATCGTCCAAAAATCAACTTATTAGAGGCCAAATATAAATCAAAGTGCAGGAGTGCAGCTAAATGTTTTCGGGCTTAACCCTTGAATGAGCGCAGATGTATGTTCAGTGGCATATTGCACTGAGGAAGTGTAAAACCCGAAAATATTTTGCTGCACTTCTGGACGATTTTGGAGGAGTCCAAAATGAGTCCTTTTTTCATTCTTGTATTGTTCCACAGCTAGCCGTATTTTAACCATGTTCATACTTTTTAACGGAATAAATTCAGTTTTTAATTGTTTAAACTATTTATGCTGATTCTAAGCAGTCGGAAGAAATGCATTTTGAAAATATGATTTTAAGCCTTAAAATCCAATTGTGCAAATAGTTAATAATCAACTAATAAACATTTATGAATAACTGACAATGCATCATGTTGAATTTATTAGATGTAATTCAAAATGGACGGAAATTGTATATGCAATTAAAATACACATCTTAAATTTAGGTCTAAATGTTTTATTTTTTAAGAGTATTTTAAGTGTTTAATTTACAGATATCGCTGTAATTTACAGACATTTTAATTTACATACAGGCACTGACTTTAGTGCTCCATATTGCATGTGCAGCTAAGCCCTAATACACTTCAAAGCAGGGGCAAAGACCAGTTTTACAGGGAAATGTGAAGGAAGGCCACTTTCTGTTGCTACAAGGAGCATCTTTTCTTGCACAGGCTGCAGTGTATTGGTGGAGCATTACATCACCCAAGTGTGGTCTGGCGTACTGTAGCCTCTCCTTAGCAGTAGGGCAGGCTGCAGGAAATCTGTTTATTATTTATTTTTATTGTCTTGGTGATGGGAATATGTTAACCTTCTTTGTGGGAACCAGCTTCAATGTTCTGGCAGACAGTAGCGTGCACAGGCTAGATCTGCTGGGCTGCTTGTGCATCTACATGGTGAATGTCATTATGCACGCATGTCTTGTTTTGTGCTCGTTCTACACACTTGCCATATGTTATTACTCGCCGTGAGTCATGGCACAGCTGAGTTATTATATCACAGATATAAGTATTTTGTTAGCTTCATATACACATCAGTTTAAACGTTTGAGGTCGGAATAATTTTTCTAATTTTTGTAAGAAATGACATTTATTTGAACAAAAATACAGAAAAAAATATTTTAAAATGATGGCAGATCTGAATTTTCAGTGTCACATGATCCTTCAGAAATCATTTTAATATGCTTATTTGGTGCTCAAGAAACTTTGATCAATGTTGAAAACAGTAATATTTTTGAGACTTTTTTTCGTCTTGAATAAGAAGATTAGTAACATTCTAAATGTCTTTACTGTTAATTTTGATCAATTTAAAAACTAAATAGAAATATTAACTACTCAATAAAAAAATGTTGAACGGTAGTTTATTTTATTTAGCCTAATTGGTTAATAGTTAACAGCGCATTATGTGTGTTCCCTAGAAATCAAACCCATGACCTTGCTGTTGAAAGCACCACACTTTGCCATTTGAGCTACAAGACCAGAATTTCATAGAGCCTAGCATCTGTTTTGACTTGGGACAAAAAGAAACCACTTAGCAACCACCTAGAACACCCTAGCAACCACATAGAAATGCCCAGGCATTGTGAAAGCAAGTTCCATGGTCAAGTTCTGGTCACATTTCTTTTAAAAATGGTCTCTGAATTGCGTGGCTGTCACAAAGATTAAGGTTTTTATTTGTGTTGATTGCTTTAGTGGCCAGTAAGATGTGTTTGTTTATTTGGTTGAGTCTATATCCTGATTGCCCAGTGTGGTTGCTCTGCTGCGGTGTTGCCTTCATGTTTCTTTTGGTTCATTAACCATTTAAGATATTATACACTTTTGTTTGCTCTCAGACGTTGCAGCTCCAATCTAATTGAAGCAGTAAATCAGTGCTGCACGCAGTACTAAACTAACCTGGGGGAATAGGCTCTGGTTTCTACAGCTCTGTTTATGTTTTCTTTGAAGGTGTCACAGAGGAATTCTGTCTTCTGTCTTTGTCTCTCTGGCTTGCTCATGCTGCTGTACTAACCCCTGAGCCAGGGCTACAGGCTCAGTACAGTAGTAAATAACACATGACTGTTTTCATTTCTGAAGGGAGCAACCGCCATGGACCGAAGAGAAACGCCCTGGATTTAGATTAATATCACAGCTTAACAGGTGACCTTTGACTTTCAAGTTTCTCACAGATCTCCTCTGGACCTGTCTCTTGTTTGTTCTTATTGTCATCCCTTGCAGATCTCCTTTTCTCAGCTTGTTATCCTTAGATTTGTTTAAAACTGTTTCTTGATCAAGTCTTTATACAGACAGAATGATTTCAAGTGAATCACAGATGCTGTTTCTCTACTCAGCCAGCTATTCTACGTGAACTAATATTTCCCTGTGCCAAACTAATCCAAACCAGCGATCATTATTTCTACTAATCTGTTTTTTTTCCCTTCACCACACTCATTATTGTGATGTAGAGTGACTTCACCCTTGAACTTTTGCTCTACAAATAGAGAAAAGAGGACTGTGTTTTTTTTAAATCACCTGCAGAGAGAAGCACTGGAGTACAGTGAAGTGCTCTTGAGAGTACCGTCATGTGTAGTTGCTTAATGAAGGCAGTGAGTGAGGGCAAGGGGTCATGTTGGCATGGCTCACCTCAGCAGTTTTTTTGGGTTTTTTTGATGGCTCACTGACCAAGCTGTTTTCCTCCTTTCTTACTCTCTCCTTCTGCCACAGAACAAACTCTGACTCAGCTCTGCACACCAGTGCCATGAGCCCAAACCCACAGGATCCTTTTGGCAGGAACCAGCAGATGGGCAGAGGACCTCCTCAGCGAAACGGTGAGCTTGGCTTCCACCTCCTCCTCCCTATTTTTGGGCTAGTTTAAAACCTCCACAACCATACTGTAGTTTTACAAAGCCATTGTTATTGCATGGCATAACTGTGTGGTTGAAACAGAAATGCAGGGGGTCAAATGGATTGTACAATGCCATTCATAGATGATAAATCAATGATTTATACCAGACCCAAATCAACCCGTCCCACCCAGTGCAGCGTGTTTGCACGACACAGCTGGGGCTCACTGTCATGTTGTTTATCTAGTTGTCTTGGTTACAAACACAGGCATTTCAGAAGGTACCCTGAAAATGGCTGACAATCAGCCCACCCAGCGTGCTGTTGAAGGATGTTTCCTCTAACCTTATTTTTCTGATTTCTTGAGCTCTTGAAAACAAATTAATGTACAGCCCCATGAGCTTTATAGATGCAATAGTCTGGCTCATACTCCCCTGAAAGGACACATAGCCAGAGTTCACAGACACATGCTGCAGTGAAGATGTTTGTTAGTTATGTCATAGGGTGGGATGATCGGTGCAAATGTTTTATCATTAGAACAGTGAAAGTCTGGCGGAGAAAGTTACGGCTGTGCCAAAACAATTATGTATTTATCTTTTTTTTTTCATGACATTGCATCAGCACTTCAGGTACTTTTTAAAGGGGTCATATGATGTTGCTAAAAAGAACATTATTTTGTGTATTTGGTGTAATGAAATGTGTTTATGTGGTTTAAAGTAAAAAAAAACACATTATTTTCCACATACTGTACATTATTGTTTCTCCTCTATGCCCCGCCTTTTTGAAACGCGTCGATTTTTACAAAACTCATCGGTCTGAAAAAGCGAGGTGTGCTGTGATTGGCCAGCTATCCAATGCGTTGTGATTGGCCGAATACCTCAAGCGTGAGACTGAAATGTTACGCCCCTCACCATACTATGATGGCATGTCCCAGCCGGAGCGATGAGACAAAAACATTAAAACCCATTACAAACGAGGCATTTGTTGCATCCAGTGGGGACATAATTACTGATTATAATGACGGTGAAAGCAGATCCGGCGATCCACAGCACTAAGTTGATGTATTTCCTCAGCAACCAGCACGGATCAGCTCCAGGCATGACGAAGTGGATATCGTCCTCTTTTGGAAGACCAAACAAAGTAGTTTCGCTTTCACAACGAAACACACAGCGTCTTCAGGACATGGCGGCAGCTGCAACAATACTACAGCGAGAATAAAAGTTACACCTTCCTCCTTTGCGTGAACATTTGGGCAGCGTTATGCAAATCTTCCCACATAGTGACGTAGATATGTGGGGGTGTGTTAGAACGAGCCGTTTTAGGTAGGTGTGGCTGACTCTTAACTTTTATAAAGAATATCTCTTTGGATTTGAAACTTTAGTCTTTGCAACTTTACAGATCTTCTTTATGCACCAAGAGCTTGTAACACTCCAAAGAGAAAAAATGAAATCGCATCATATGACCCCTTTAATATATTTTGTGTTCATTAATATAATTTCCTTCAGTTTGATTAATAAAAACTGGGTCAGGGAGTGCATTTTGAGGTTGATCATCTGCTTGTGCATTACTGATGTTTGTTACATATAAACATTGCTTTGCGGATTGTTATGTCACATCCCTTTCTAGTATTCTTACATGTATCATGTGAATTACAGGATATACATGGTCATGACGTGAAGAGTTTATGTAACATTACACAGACCGGCTCTATTATAGTAATCTCATGCCAGTGGATACACTTCCGTTCAAAGGTTTGGGCTCAATAAGATGTTTTTTAATGTATGTATTTATTATTATTTTTAAATAAATTAATACGCTTATTCAGCAAGGATACATTAAATCAAAAGTGACAAAAACATGTATAATATTTCAAATGACTATTTTTAATCAAATGATCAAATGAGTGCAGTCATGGTGAACTTCTTTCAAAATCATTAAATGATCCTAACTTCATCTTCATAACAAAATTTCAGACCAGAGAGTGATATATTTTTTGAATCATTTAAATATTGTTGTGTGGGACACAATGAGCTCAGAGACGGCAAGCTAAGCATTTAAAAACTACGTACTAATGGTGTTCTGTGAATGAATAGTGCTGGCAAAGGGCTTTAGAAATAATGTAGTATTCTCACATGAAACGGAGTAGAGGCTTAAACCGTATTTGATATGTCAGCTGTTGAATGCTTGAATCTGATTGGTTGACAAACATTCTAAGGTGTGCAATTATTTTCAGGGAAACGCATGGCTAAAGTAGTTCCAGGCAGGTCTTGACCGCACTACCGCATGTCCGTATCACTTTGCCAAATGATTTCAGTTATTTCAAAGGTCCCTACAACAGCAAAAGAACCAAAAACCACAACGACTGACGAAGCAAATAAATATAATAAACAATATGATGAAAATGACCAATTATTTCCATGTTTTTGCCACAAAATTGCATTTAATTATGTACGGAAAGCACGTACTCTCTTTCTCCTGCTCTCTTCCATACAAATGCACACACATGCAATACAGACACACACGCTCGCACACACGGAAACATACATGTGCACAGAAATGTGTTGTTCGCGCTGCTTTGACGATTTTATTAATAAAATAGTTTAGCAACTTAAGAGCTATATGACATTTCTTACTTGGGTATAACGGCAGATGAGCTTAAAGTTTCACTGTTAGTAGAGACGCTACACTGTTGAAAGACACATAGACTCAAGTAATTCACACAAGCTTAATCGCTTTTGCATTCACTCTGTTTATCACTTGCTCTCTTACAAATTGATTTGCAGGCATTTAGGCTTGAGATTGTGGCTCATCTGAACTGCATATCCAAGCTAAAAGCATCTTTGTGTAGTAGATCTTTGTTTAGTCTGTAGGTTAAAATAAGATATTGAATGAAGATGTGGAGCAAATAAAATGGTCACATGTACATTGAGATATGGAGCAGTATAACTCAGAGGCTGTCTGTGGCCCAAGGCAGTTGTTTTCTCAGACACAGCTTCACTTGAGGACATGGCAGACAGCAGGCTTTTAATATCTGTCTGGCAGTCATCTGAATTATGCACACAGTTGACTGTGGCGGTGTGCAGTGAGGCTCACGTAATGTGAACAAGTACAAACCAGCCTCTTACATGGGACAAAAATTTGTCTCGCTTCCGCTATCACAGTAGTCTCATCCCAAACCTGTCAGCCAATGCAACTATACTATTCATGTGTGGATCCCCCGAAAGCATTAAGACCGTATCGTAACTGTGTGCCACGTTTAACCGCTTGACTCTGACCCAACTGGGATTTATGATTTGACACCATTTATAATAATTACTTTTTTACATTTTTTTTTTAAATTTGTTTTGTTTTTTTAATTTGTTTTTTTTTCACTGATTTGGTGCAACATTTTGTTGATTTTGGGAGCTTGCTATACGGATAATTATAGATAAATGTAATTGCAAATAATGTATTTTAACATAAACTATGGCGTTTTTTAAGGTACTTTTATACTTCAAGATAAAACGTGACAAAACTCTGGACTCAGGCCAACGTTTTTCTGTTCTAGTTGTCTTTTTCCGTTAGTTATGGTGTTGAATGAGACTCTCAGTGAGGGGGAAATGAGGTGTCGCCGTACTGTTTGTTTGATTCATTGTGCGTCGCAGTTGGGTGTCTGAGACGGCAGCTTTGTTGAAACGGTGGAGCTGGTTGATCTGGCTCTGGGCCCACACTGCATCAGTTCTGGGCCAGCATCGGCAGAGGAAGCAGAAAGGAGGTTTGTTTTCCACAGGATCTCTGTGGTGCACACAAAACAATGCCTCTCCATTGATTCACTTTGCGCTTGTGGTCACAGATTTCTCCCAATATGCTTTTTTTTGTCCTCTCTTTTTTTTCTTAATGAGACAGTACACGCTAAGAAGCCATTTTCAGTTCCCCCCTCTGGAGTTTGTGCCCTCTGTCTTCAGTGGGTGGAGTGAGTGTGCACTCATAATGACTCATTTCAATGAATCAAAGGTTTGTGAGAAGACTGAACTGAACTTTGCAGCGTAAAGATATGTTCAAAAGATTGTTTGTTTGTTTTGAAAGAAATCAATGCTTTTATTTAGCAAAGATGCCTAAAAAACTGATAGTAAAGACATGTTACAAAAGTTTCTATTTTAAATAAATGTTTTTGAACTTCCTATCAAAGAATCCTGAAAAAAATTTATCTTTGTATTCACAAAAATATTAAGCAGCAAAACTGTTTGCAGCATTTATAGTAAAAAGAAATGTTTCTTGAACACCAAATCAGCAAATTAGATTGATTTCTGACGTGTCATGTGACACTGAAGACTTGAGTAATGATGCTGAACATTTAGCTTTGCCATCACAGGAATAAATTATTTTAAAATATATTCAAATAGAAAATAAATGTTTTATTTTAAATTCAGTTATTTGATATTCCACAATATTAATTTCAAAATGCTTGAGGAGCATGAGACTTTAAGAAATAAAAACTTAAAAAAATTTTATCAACCCCAAACTTTTCAACAGTAGTGAATGAAGGAAAGCTACTTGCTAGAGTCTGTTACTTCTTCACGCCAGGCATTTCTGTGGATATTGTGGATGAGTTCTTCTGTGTCATCACGTTCTATTAGTTCTACAGCTTCAGTTTCTGAACTTTCACGCTTAGTAACACATACAGCTGTTCCCTCACCACAGTGCAACAGTGAAAAGGGACCCCTTTCAAACAGTGTCGCGTTCCGAACGTTGTTTAAGCGACATACACCGGTATTGCGGTATTTTAAAAATTCATATCATAACAATAATAAACACCGGTATTCAGTATGAACCGGTATACCGCCCAGCACTACCATGAGATGTATTTGCATGTTTGTTTTGCACCTTTGAATTTGTGGAGGTCCTGGTTTGAGCCGTGCCTTTGTGATTTGCTTCGATTCCGCTATCCTAATCATTCTGAAAGTATGTTGTTCTGTGTTATATCTTAATAATGGAGGGGATTTACCAAGAATAATATTCTCTGCATATTTCAATCATATGATTTAAATATTACATTTATTGTTCTAATGTCTTCATCCCTGTTGTTTTCATTACTTGCATAAAATATGAGTATGATGGTGTTTATTTTCCATAGTTCACCCTAGACTAGGTTCTGTGGATCGAGAAATAATTAATTACTTTCAGTAAAAGTGTTAATCAAGCCATGTCATGGGTGATGTGTGTTAATATACGGTCTGTTACATCAACAGTGGTTCAGTCAGCATGGATTACATGTGTGAATGCAAAATGATTAACTGCTTTTTGATCTAATGGGCCTTTCTCTTTGTGGTCGTGCAGCCAGCATGAATGAAGCAGAGGTGGACAATTCTGGAGATGGTAAGTGTGTTGTCATGCTTGTTGATTCTCTATCATGTGTTCAGCCCACCAACAAAAAAGATTCACCCCTTTAATGACATCATCAGCCCTCACAGTACTCCGCTGTGGTTTGCTGTAGTGGGCTGATGGATGGTGTTGGTGTTGTGGAACAGTTGGTGTGCTCTGCTGGCAGTCCCACTCAAATTACATGTCTCTCATATAGTTTACCGTAAGATAACTTAATAAAGCTCGCTTTTTTGGTTGAGTTGTAGGATGCAGATTGAGTATTTACTTTTACTCTTTTGTTGACAAAATGAAATTAGTGACTTAAAGATGTGCAGCCCTACCTGTGCAATTTGAATAGGGGATGCAGCAGGGATGATTTGAATTGTTTAATGAGGGACTGTCTTTTTTCCTCTGCAGTGTTCTCATTTCATTCTGTCCCTAATGAGGAGAATCTGCTCGGAGTGAATAAGCCACTGCCAAAACAATTATGGGAGGCCAAAAAGGTGAGTGCATGAGGGCTAGTGGTGTTATAGTATCTGTAGTACTAAGTAACAACTCAGTTGTAATTCGGTTGTGACCAAAGAAATCAGAATTGTATCAAAATATCAGATGTGTAACTGTATAAAGGCAGCCTAATAATCCTTTTACTGGCCATTATTACCAGTGTTGGACAGTAACGCATTACTTAGTAACGCGTTACTGTAATTTGATTACTTTTTTAGGAACGGAGTAATTTAACGCATTATAATTTTCAAAATAGTAATTAGAGTATAGTTACAAGCCGAGGTCTATATACGTTACTGCCACGTTACATTGCTGACAGAATGCAGTGTTTTATAATCTGGAGATCGTAAAGGATGTAGCACATGCATTGTCGAGTTCAGTGCCAGTGGATTACAGACCTGCTTTTCCGCAACAGAGTGCGGCGCGGGACAAAATGTGCGAGTGCTGGTGCGGGCGGGTAGACACTCGTGTGTGTGTGTGTGTGTGTGTGTGTGTGTGCGCAGGATGCGTGAGAATAAAATGATTCATGGGACTCCAGCAAAATAGAAATATCTAAACATAAAATATCTAAAACAAATAAATTGTTATTGATCTATTGCACAAAAACACCATGAACTAATATAAAATATAAACGATTAACAGGTGCAAGCGTATGGGATGTCTTTTAGAGATTATAAATGCAGCGCTCTTTGCTGGCATTCTGCCTTGCCAAACCATGCACGCAGCAGCCGCTTGCTTTAGTTAAAAATAACAGTGTTCTGTGAATGTTGATGCTTTAATAACAGATATTTATTGGGAGTGTGTATGCTGGGATTTCATAAATTTCATGGAGGAAAAAAGTTACGTAACTAATTACTAATTACTTTTGAAATAAAGTAATCAGAACAGTAACGTGATTACTTTTAAAAGGAGTAATCAGTAATTTGATTACATTTTCGGAGTAACTTGCCCAACACTGATTATTACTAACAAAATAAAGACCTGTGTTCAATAGCATGTTAGTTTTTGATTCATTTCGTTACCAAAAAAAAAAAAAAAGTATTGAGTTTTGATCTAAATGATTGTGTACCGAAATTAAGTTATATTTTTTGGTTATGTATTGAGTTTGAAGTTACATTTATTTGTTCACTTTTTACTCAGAAATCTCACTGATGCTGTGTCACTAAACTCAAGGTTTTGTCTGGCTTTGGTTGACCTCTATATTTTGCTTGTATTGGTTAGTCTGTTCAATGCTTTGTGTTTCTAAATTTGTCCTGTAAACCAATATATTATGCCCGCTATTTATTCAGTCATTTCCTAACTTTGACCAAGTAAAGTTGGTAACTTTGATCTAGAGGAAGTAATTCTATTAAAAGTTGGCGTGTAAAAGAATTTGTGATGGTTTTTCTTCCCTATTGTAACATGTATTCAAGTACAAAAGCTTCTCGACCAGGAAAAATATGCAGGGTGGAATTTTGTTGTCCATGGGGAATTGATTGTCGTTTGTTAATTACAGCAATCATTTCATGTGAGTGACAGTTTGCTGGAGGGATTGAATCTAGGATACCTTATTACTCAGTCCTCACGTCAGCATACACGTCATCAGAGAAGAGATGACATAGTAAGGAGAGGGGCATGTTAATTTTTTTAACAGGCCACGTGTGTTTTTTTTGTGTGTGGATAAGTGATTTATATTAAACACTGCAACATTCCATAAACAAATTGACAGTTTTGATTTCATGGCGACTTTAACAGAATCTTTGTGCTGTTGATTACATATTAGTGTTATTAGTATGATGCCATTTGGTCAGCAATCCATCAATCCACACATCTCTGCGTCTCTCCTCGCTGTCCAACCCTCCTCCGACGGGCCTGGCGAGTTCACCCAGGAGAAGGCCGGCCCCCATTAGTCCCCTGACACTCTCTCCAGGGGGCGATCAGAGGCGAAGCCTGGGCAAGCAGCTCTCCCCGACAATGTCGCCCTCTCTCTCTCCGATCACACAGGTGAGAAAGTGCTCATTAAAACTCCTCATCCAGCATCTCATGTTCTTCGGTGGTATCTTTACTCAATCCTCATCCAGACCATCACCGGCTTCTTGTATTAAACTGCTTACAGGGCTCCAGAGTGTGTCTAATGTGGTTAGACTTTTCAGGACTACAAATAAAAAAAGGAAAAATGTAGTTATGCATTACAATTGTCTGCTGTTAATGCTGCAAGTCAAACAAACAAATGTATGGTGATACATCACTACCGATTGAACCACACAACACAGTCCAGTTATATACATGGCATGAGTGAATAGCAAAGGGTTGTTTATTTATTCAGATGTTCCAATTCGATTCGATTTCAATTTTCAAGCTCTCAATTCGATTCGATTTTCGATTCGATATTCGATTTCGATTCGATTTTTGATTTCAATTCTCGATTCGATTTGACTATATGAATGAATATAGATTTAATACAAATCCTATATTTATAAAAATTGAACAGTGAACATAAGATTACAAATGGTTAATTAATAGGAAATTAAGAGCCACAAACCTGTATATTAAACACTTTTTATTTTAGGTAGACTTGGGTACAATAAAACAAAACCCCACTATATATTTCAAATGCATACAATGAATAGACAGAATTTTGATGCAAGATGAAAAACTGATGCTGAAAATTGGACAAGTCAGAACAGTCGCATGCCTTGATCAAACAGGATCAGGTTATTTTATGTGTAAGACAAAACAAACATAAAATCTCACAGCATTAGCTGTAACATGGAGGCTGCGAGCCTATGAATGGTGTAGGAAAACTAATACTGGCTTTTGGGTGATAGTTCACCCAAAAATAAAAATTCTGTCATCATTTATGCATGTATGAATTCATTTTCTTCTGTGGAACACAAAAGAAGATATTTTGAAGAATATGGATAACCAAACTGTGTTGGTCCCCATTGACTTCCATATATTTTTCTCCATA